GGTCGAAGAGAGAGAAGACTAACGGTTCTTTTATTTTCAAGAAGAGGGTTTAGGAGCCAAATATACTTGTACAAGAAGGATATCACTGACGTCATCCTGATTACGTCACTGACACATCAGCAGTTTCTCTGCTCAGGTGATCGAGGAAGAAAAGAGGTAGTTTTTTTTTGGGGGGGTCAATTTTTGCATTGGGCCTTAATAAGGCAAAAGGATAGTACATGGCCCAAAAAATACAAGTGTGCCAAACAGAATTTGGATTTCCAAATGATGTCATCTAAATATAATTTTGCATTGGGCCTTAATAAGGCAAACATGCAGAAGTGCGGATCGGGGGAAGCCAAACGGCACGAAGTGTTTCAACGAAACGAAGCCAGTAAAAGATAAGAGAGCTTTTGGGGAACTGGCTCCAACAAGCAGATGATGAAAGTCGTGTCAAGCGTCATCAAGCACATGACCACGCACGTGACTGTCATCAACATTACACAGCTCTCCGAGTACCGCATCGACGCCCATACATCTGTCTACACCGAGACAGGTGGTAAAATCCTAACGGTTGAGCAGAGGGCTGATCCCATGAGTCACGCTGATTGCATACATTGGTGCCTCCGTAGATTGCCCGATACATGGAACCAGATCCTATTGGCTCATTTGTAAATAGAGCTAGGAACCTGAGGGTAAAACGGGAAAACCTAAGCCCTCACTCTATTGTCCACTTGTGTTGTTTTTTTGAAATGTATGTGGTTGTGTAAACGGCGAAAAATCGAACTGAACCAATTTGTAACAGTTGAATTCAAACATATGAAATAAAAACTTTATATATGTGTTTAAAAAAGAAGTTTATACCGCCTCAAACAAAGATGGAAAAACTCATCTTAACTATTATTTGAGAATCATGTTTAGTGAAAAAATCTGATGTGTCATCACTTTAACAAAAGTTAGTGTAAATTAATGGTGATATGAAATTGTGATATGACAAATTTCCTAAAATAAACGAAAAGTTTTGATTGATTGAATTGTAATTAAATAAATTATAAAATTATAACATAAATACACTAGGTTATAACACTAAAAATAATAAATTTAAATAAACAGAAAATAATAGTTACTATGATTTCAATTTTTTTACATATATTTATAATATATTTCATAAAATATAATTACAAAAATTTTACAACTGATATATATTTTAAAATTTTAAATAGAAAAATAATAATCTATTATCCAATAAGTTAGTATATATGCTATATATTAATAATATTGGGAGTATGATATATTATTATTTGTATATAATTTTTTAACATTTTAATATTATTGTTTTCTGGAATTTGTATAGTTTGCCTTACATTACCATTAATTTTTATCTCTTATCCTTTTTTAAAATAAATTAAAAGTTTATAACATTGTACTACTCATATATACAGTCTCATTGTAGATCGAGAATTTGAGATCAGAAATAAAATGCATTGTAACCGGATAAAAAAAATTATAAATAAGAAAAAACAAATATTAATAAGAAGTAGAAGTAAAAAAAAAAATTCTATAGTTTTATTTTCTGTAACACTTTCAAACTTTGTTTTACAGAGTCCTTTGAAAATATTAAAATATAAATTTTATAATAAATGCATGTGTGACTCAAATTTCATAATGAATACATGCGTACAGACCAACCATAAGAAATTTGTTTTCTTCATCAAACCAATTCTTCAATATTGGACAAAGAGATGAGCAGAGAGCTACCGGATTTTTTTATAAACTATGATTTTACAAATTTTATAACAAATATTTATTATAAATTTTATTTTATATAAATAAATATATAAATAAGAAGTAGAAGTAAAAATAAAAATGAATTTTTACGACTTTGACTTTCTATAAAACTCTCAGACTATGCCTTTCGTTTAAAATATAACCCACATTTTTTTTAAATCTTCTAATTTAGAGAAAAAATAACAGTCTTTCTTTTTCCATTAAAATAGAAATATGTTGGGGAGAAATCCACCTATATTTTAGAAGAAAAATAGAAAAATACATTGGAGATGATCTTATTGTTTAATATATTATTCAAAGTTAAGAAAAAATATGAGTCAAAGAAGACAAAAAAAAGAATAATTTTGATCGATTTTATGATTTTATTTTGAAATATTTAAAATGTTATTTTACACATATTAATTTTTTCATGCCTATAGTTTTTTAAACATCTTAAAATATTATTTCATAAATAAAATTTTGTATATGTTATGATTCATTATATATAAGATTAACACATATATCAAAGTTAGAAACATATAACTCTTATTTTGTAATATAACAATTAAATATTAAATATATTATTTTACACTTTCAACCATACACATATAAGTTTAGGATCCGACTGGTTTAAATGCTGCAGTTACATAGAGTTTGTGGAAGCGAACGATTGTGGGCTATAAAAAATTTGACGAAGAGGTGTGCGGAGAGCTACTTGAGAATTTTATAAAATAAGAATTCACAAATTCTATAATGAATATTTATTATAATTTTGATTGAGAAACCATATATCAAAAAATACTGAAAATAAGAAATTTTGCTTACATACAAAACATTACAAATGGTTTTCGTGATTATAGTTAAACGCCAAAAACTGTGTTGTGTAAAATCAAAATGTTTGCAAAAAATTTCAGAAAAACTAACTAACACCTAAATATTACAATTCACTTATTTATAATTCATACCTACATTCATAATATACATATTGTTTTATAAAAAAATCAATCATACATTATAAAAATATATATTACAAAACATATATTTTTTATTTAATTTCTTTTAACACATAAAATCCATACTTCAATTTTATCACAAATATGCAGGTAGATATAAATATTAATTGTTCAAAAATCAAAGTCGCATGCAAATTTGTCTTGCATACATTTTCGTAACCCTCGATTACTGTTCAATTTTAATTTTAGTTATTAGTCAATTTATATTTATTAAAAGCGGGTAGATGGTTGGTCTGCACATTCGTGCGTACCAACCATCCGCTTTTAGGATAAGTAGTAATAGTAAAACCTATTTTGGTTTACTTAGCAATAGTTCAAGAATAAATGAATACTTAAAATATATATATATATATATATATATATATATATATATATTGACAAGATTATATTGTGCAAAGGAAAAATAAATATAATATAGATAATATTCAAAACATATCACAAGAATTTAATTATTATTTAATATAAATTTTACATTTATAATTATATGTTATTCTAAATTTAAAAAAAAACAAAATGTTTTCAAAAGACACAAAACGATATGAAATGTTTGTGTGATTGTTGTTAAACACTAAAACTGTATATGTATAAAAACGTAACGCTTACATAATAAGATTTCTATAGACACAAAATGATATGAAATATTTGTGTGATTGTTATTAAACGCGTTAAAACTGTATATGTATAAAAACATAACGCTTACTTATGTATAAAAAATTAATCAATATTTAAATATTACAACTAATTATGTCTGTAAAAAAATCATGATTGCACATGCGTGCGGACCAACCATAAAATTTAAATAAATGATTATATATTTTCATGTTTTCAGTTTATTTAGTTTTTATATTTACATTTTTTATCTACTGGAGTATTTTAAAAATCTGGGCTAACATTTTTTTATCTTCAACTTCTATTGAAATCTATAACATTTTTTATTTGATTTATTATTATTTTTAATTTTTAAAAGTTTATATAATGTTATTATTAATACATTAATAATCATATACAAATAAAGCATATTTAATATATAATATTAATCATATAAAAATAAAGTATATTTAATATATAATATTAATTATATATTTAATATATAAAATATTTTATAGCCTGTATATGGTGCAGACCGATCACCTAATATATAATAAATATCAGAGCAGATAATATATAGTAAACATAATTGCTCACACTGTCAATTCACGGTTTACATAATACCCAATGGCTTTTTATCATTTGTCGTAAATGGGTTATATTTAGAATTTATTGATAAGAGACCCCTCAATGGGATCCAATTGCTCTCGAATGGGTAAAAACCGAAATAAAAAATTGTTTCCGCCATAAACCGAAATAGCATTTCCTCTTTCATTCTTGTTGACTGGTCTTCTCTACTTTTACAACGCTCACTCTTTTTTTTTTCCTCTCCCTCTCGACTCCGAGCAAAACCCCCTTTTGCTCCAAGACTCAGATTTGGATTCTGATCTCCCGCCGCCTCACCGTCGTTGCGCTACCATCTCCGGCCAAGGTGATACTTTCTCTCTCTTAATCTCTCCATCTCTTCTGTTTAATCATTTAGCAATTTCTTTCTGTTAAACTCGTTGAAAGGAACGGTATAATCACCGAGAACAGTTTTTCCATGGATTCTTCTTCCGCGAACATTGTCTAGTCATCTAGGGGTTTCTTCTTTCTCCGTATTTTCGTGCGTCTTAGAAGTAGTATCTGCGATTTTGTTAGATATAATCTCTTTTCTTCGAAATTCCCCCTTTCTTCTGGCAATTTGATGCAGTGTTTCATGATCGTGGACTATCTTTAAGGTTAATTCCTGATATCGTTTCTGATTTCTCGCATTGCGGAGTTGGTTTTGATTCTTGATTGTTGTTGCATTCTTTTAGAATAAGTAAGTATATGCGGTTTTGGTAGATTTTATATATGTTCTTCCTCTTTTCCCGACGTTTTTCGTTAATCGTGAACTACTTTCTGGGTAAACTTCTGTTATCGTTTCCCGAGAAACTCGCATTGTGATTCTCTCTTCGGATTGTTAATCGTCAGTTTCCTTTTTAATCTTCTATCGACTCCATCAAAATCTTGTGGAATCTCCAGGTTGTGGGTTTGATCGAGATGGGGAGATTGTTATTATTCCTATGTTATGGAATCATTCGTTGCGTCAATTCGAAAACCTAATTTCAGAGTCAACCTGTGTAATTAGGACTGTTTTGCTGATTTGCTCTGTTGTGGATTTGGATCTGTAGAGAATGGCTGCAGCTACGTATCCGCCGCCTCCTCCATATCACAGGCTCTACAAGGATTACTCTGAAAACCCTAATTCTGCTCCTGAACCTCCTCCTCCAATTGAAGGAATCTACGTTTGTTTCGGAGGCAATTATACTGTGAGATTCCTACTTTACATTTCCCCTTATCACTCCTCGCAATTTGTCATCTTTGTGACTTATAGTACTTTTCCCATTTTGTATTGTTTTGCAGACTGAAGATGTTCTTCCGAGCCTAGAAGAGCAAGGAGTACCTCAACTTTATCCCAAAGATTCAAACGTTGGTATGTCATTCTTCTAAACTTTAATGGTTTTGGTTAATCCCTTAATTGCAAATCAAACTGATTACATGACACTGTTGGTAAATAGAAGTAGTATCTTTCAGATACTTCCTTCCGATCTCAGCCTTACTCTTAAGCAAGATATCTTCTTTGTTTTGCTGAAGAGATTCCAATGATCTTGTGTAGATTACAAAAAAGAACTCCGATCTTTGAACAGAGAACTACAGTTACATATATTGGAGCTTGCTGATGTTCTTGTTGAGAGGCCTTCTCAATATGCAAAGAGAATTGGTGAAATATCTTCAATCTTCAAGAACTTACATCACCTTCTCAATTCCTTGAGGCCTCACCAGGTAAGAAGATGTCGTTTTTGTTTCACAACGTGTTTTTCATCGGTTTTGTGTTTATCTAATTGTTCTCTTTTGCTCAGGCGAGAGCAACACTTATTCATATTATGGAACACCAAATTCTGCAGCGGAAACAAGCAGTGGAGGACATTAAGAGGTTTGTATATGCTTTACGTTTTCTGTCGTAATGGTATCAAGGTGAATCTGTAACCTTGTTAAATATTCTTTTAAAGCTTGTTGGTAGTTCTTCTGGGTTATTCTAATACGTTGTAGAGATCATAAATAAACATATTATTAATTGGGAATAGTGTTGTTTTGGCAGGAGGAGAGAAGAAGCACAGCGACTTCTGAAGGATGCTTTCGTCACTTTAGATGGACAATAGAGTTTCTTCCACCCATTTTGTATGAAACCTTTTTTCTGATTGACCACATCGAAGCTTACTTTTAACTGTTAACACTAAACCAATGATAATCAGTATTTACTGTTCCAAGATTACATTAGACCATAACTAACTGGTGACACTTGGAATCCTTTTTTAGTGTCTTCGAAACCTATAGAAATACATGAAACTGCAACCGGTTGAATTCAATATCTAATTGATTTGTTTCTATAAAAAAATAACTAGGATTATTTAAATTTTTCAATAATTCTGACCAATTGGTTAAACCAAAAATAAATATTGATTACGGATGTTTATCTAGAAATTTAATATTTAATTATGGTATTATTTAATTTTATTTATTTTCAACCTCAATGGTGGTAAAATTAAAAACATGCATCTTTCAAGCCAATGTTTTATTTATTTTTGTATTAAACAAAACCAAACCGATATCGTGCGAACTGTGATAGAACCAATTTCAACAGATAAACTCATAAGGTATACGAGACACACAAACTGTCCTTTCATCGATGATCTTCCTCGCTCCGCACCAAATATTTCCCAAGTAACGCAAGCTTCATCGATCTTCCTAGTCTGGTTTCTTTTATCTCACAAGTAAAGCAAGCTTTAACGACACCCAAAATGTATGTGTCGATGTAAACCCTAATTATCCCCATTCAACTGTTACAAATTTCACCCAGATCGATTATGCGGTGTAAACTCTCTAAATCTTAGACTGGAAAAATTGTTATTATACCTATGTTATGGAATCATTTGTTGCATCGATTCGAAAACCTAATTCAGAGCCAACCTGTGTAATTAGGATTGTTTTGCTGATTTTTTGCTCTGTTGTGGATTTGGATCTGTAGAGAATGGCTACAGCTACGTATCTGCCGCCTCCTCCATATTACAGACTCTACAAGGATTACTCTGAAAACCCTAATTCTGCTCCTGAACCTCCTCCTCCAATTGAAGGAACCTACGTTTGTTTCGGAGGCAATTATACTGTGAGATTCCTACTTTACATTTCTCCTTATCACTCCTCGCAATTTGTCATCTTTGTGACTTTAAGTACTTTTCCCATTTGGTTTTGTTTTGCTGACTGAAGATGTTCTTCCGAGCCTAGAAGAGCAAGGAGTGCCTCAACTTTATCCCAAAGATTCAAATGTTGGTATGTCATTCTTCTAAACTTTAATGGTTTTGGTTAATCCCTTAATTGCAAATCAAACTGATTACATGACACTGTTGGTAAATAGAAGTATCTTTCAGATACTTCCTTCCGATCTCAGCCTTACTCTTAAGCAAGATACCTTCTTTGTTTTGCTGAAGAGATTCCAATGATCTTGTGTAGATTACATGAAAGAACTCCGGTCTTTGAACAGAGAACTACAGGTACATACATTGGTACAGGTACATATATTGGAGCTTGCTGATGTTCTTGTTGAGAGGCCTTCTCAATATGCAAAGAGAATTGGTGAAATATCTTCAATCTTCAAGAACTTACATCACCTTCTCAATTCCTTGAGGCCTCACCAGGTAAGAAGATGTAGTTTTTGTTTCACAACGTGTTTTTCATCGGTTTTGTGTTTATCTAATTGTTCTCTTTTGCTCAGGCGAGAGCAACGCTTATTCATATTATAGAACTCCAAATTCTGCAGCGGAAACAAGCTGTGGAGGACATTAAGAGGTTTGTATATGCTTTACGTTTTCTGTCGTAATGGTATCAAGGTGAATCTGTAACCTTGTTAAATATTCTTTTAAAGCTTGTTGGTAGTTCTTCTGGATTATTCTAATACGTTGTAGAGATCATAAATAAGCATATTATTAATTGGGAATAGTATTGTTTTAGCATGAGAAGAGAAGAAGCACAACGACTTCTGAAGGATGCTTTCGTCACTTTAGATGGACAATAGTGTTTCTTCTACCCATTTCGTATGAAACCTTTTTTCTGATTTACCACATCGAAGCTTACTTTTAACTGTTAACACTAAACCAATGTTAATCAGTATTTACTGTTCCAAGATTACATTAGACCATAATTAACTGGTGACCCTTGGAATCCTTTTTTAGTGTCTTCGAAATCCATAGAAATACATGAAACTGCAACCGGTTGAATTCAATATCTAATTGATTTGTTTCCATAAAGAAATAAATAAGCATTATTTGGATTTTTCAATAATTTTGACCAATGGGTTAAACCAAAAATAAATATCGATTACAAATGTTTACCTAGAAATTTAATATTTAATTATGGTGTTATTTAATCTTATTTATTTTCAACTTCAATGGTGGTAAAATTTTAAACATGCACCTTTCAAGCCAATGTTTTTTTTTTTGTATTAAACAGAACCAAACCGATATCGTGCGAACCGTGATTGAACCAATTTCAACGGGTAAATCCATAAGGTATACGAGACACCCAAACCGTCCTTTCATCGATGATCTTCCTCGCTCCACACCAAATATCTCCCAAGTAACGCAAGCTTCATCGATCTTCCTCGTCTGGTTTCTTTTATCTCCCAAGTAAAGCAAGCTTTAACGACACCCAAAAAGTATGTGTCGATGTAAACCCTAATTTCCCCCATTCAACTGTTACAAATTTCACCCAGATCGATTATGCGGTTTAAACTCTCTAAATCTTAGACTGGGAAAATTTTTATTCCTATGTTATGAAATCATTCGTTGCATCGATTCGAAAACCTAATTTCAGAGCCAACCTATGTAATTAGGATTGTTTTGCTGATTTTTTGCCCTGTTGTGGATTTGGATCTGTAGAGAATGGCTACGGCTACGTATCCGCCGCTTCCTCCATATTACAGGCTCTACAAGGGTTACTCTGAAAACCCTAATTCTGCTCCTGAACCTCCTCCTCCAATTGAAGGAACCTACGTTTGTTTCGGAGGCAATTATACTGTGAGATTCCTACTTTACATTTTCCCTTATCACTCCTTGCAATTTGTCATCTTTGTGACTTATAGTACTTTTCCCATTTTGTTTTGTTTTGCTGACTGAAGATGTTCTTCCGAGCCTAGAAGAGCAAGGAGTACCTCAACTTTATCCCAAAGATTCAAATGTGGTATGTCATTCTTCTAAACTTTAATGATTTTGGTTAATCCCTTAATTGCAAATCAAACTGATTACATGACACTGTTGGTAAATAGAAGTATCTTTCAGATACTTCCTTCCGATCTCAGCCTTACTCTTAAGCAAGATATCTTCTTTGTTTTTCTGAAGAGATTCCAATGATCTTGTGTAGATTACATGAAAGAACTCAGGTCTTTGAACAGAGAACTACAGTTACATATATTGGAGCTTGCTGATGTTCTTGTTGAGACGCCTTTTCAATATGCAAAGAGAATTGGTGAAATATCTTCAATCTTCAAGAACTTACATCACCTTCTCAATTCCTTGAGGCCTCACCATGTAAGAAGATGTCGTTTTTGTTTCACAACGTGTTTTTCATCGGTTTTATGTTTATCTAATTGTTCTCTTTTGCTCAGGCGAGAGCAACGCTTATTCATATTATGGAACTCCAAATTCTGCAGCGGAAACAAGCCATGGAGGACATTAAGAGGTTTGTATATGCTTTACGTTTTCTGTCGTAATGGTATCAAGGTGAATCTGTAACTACAAATCCCGCCCAATGCCTATTTGCAATTATTGTGGTAGGACGGGACAGTTGTGATCAAATGCTACAAGCTTCATTGATATCCTCCTGGCTATGATGGTCCTCGCTCTTCCAATGTTGCTCCTAAGTCTACTCCCACTCCTGTCTCTCAGCCTCAATGTTATGCATCTAAACCTTACTCTAAGGAGAATGCCGTTGTTGCGAATGTGGTTACTGAGGTTGCATCGTCTGATGGCAACAGTCTTGATCTCAGTGCCTTCTCTACTGCTCAAGCTCAACAGCTCATATCTCAGTTGAATTCCCACGTCAGTCTTCAGGAAGCTCAGACTTCTCCTTCTTTGCATTCAATCACAGAACACGGGGTCATGGCTTGTAATGCGACTGCATGTAACATATCTTTTCCATCACCCCATTTACGATTCACCGATAATAAACTCACCTATAATCACCAATGCCTTTCTTCTCTTTCCACTATTGTTCTTAAAGATGCTTGGATTACTGATAGTGGTGCCACTAGTCATGTCTGTTCTGACCTTTTCGCTGTTTTCAGAGTTTCATCCAGTCGAGCAGATGACAGTATCTTTCCCTAATGGTGTTAGGGTTCCTATTGTTCATACTGGCACCGTGCATTTATCATCCACCATAACATTGCATAATGTCTTGCATATACCTTCGTTTTAATTCAATCTGATTGGTGTGAGTTCTCTGGTTACAACTAGTTCTTGTTCTACTCACTTCTTTCCTGATTCTTGCATTATTCAGGACCTTTCTCAGGGCTCGATGGTTGGGAAGTGTAGTCTGCTTGGCAATCTTTATGTCTTTACTGCTCGTGACTTAGCTTCTACTGCTTCTTCTTTGTCTTTCTGTGGTTCCTTGGTTGCTGATGGAGATTTATGGCATCATCGTCTTGGACATCCCTCTTTAGCCAAGTTATAGAGTCTTTCGTCTAAGCTTTCCTTACCAAAGTCAGGTTCTATTCATTCTCATTGTCCTATCTGTCCTCTAGCTAAACAGAAAAGACTTCCTTGCGTTTCTCTTAATCATGTTGCTAGTAATCCTTTTGATCGCATTTATCTTGATGTCTGGGGTCCTTTTGCTACTGAAACTGTGGAAGGTTTTAAGTACTTCCTTACAATTGTTGATGACGCTACTCGTGTAACCTGGATTTACTTGCTTAAAAATAAAAGTTCTGTTCGTACTGTCTTTCCTGCCTTTTTACAGCTTATTGAAACTCAACATTCTGCTATATTTAAAGCCATTCGTACTGATAATGCTCCTGAACTTGAATTTGCTGATATCGTTCGTGAAAAAGGCATGCTTCATTATCATTCTTGTGTTGATACTCCTCAGCAAAACTGTGTTGTTGAACGTAAACATCAACATTTGTTGAATGTGGCATGGGCTTTATTCTTTCAATCTAATGTGCCGGTTTGTTTTTGGGGGGATTGTGTTCAAACCGCTGCTTTCCTTATTAATCGTACCCCTTCCCCGTTGCTAGGTAATTCTTCTCCCTATGATAAATTGTTTCACAAGGAGCCTGATTATACTTCATTACGAGTTTTTGGTTGCCTTTGTTATGTTTCCACCTATCCCAAGTTTCGCACCAAATTCTCCCTTGGAGCTAAACCTTCGGTCTTTCTAGGCTATCCCACTGATTACAAAGGTTATAAGGTTCTTAACTTAGACATTAATATTGTTTCCATTTCTTGTAATATTGTCTTTCATGAAACAATTTTCCCGTTTAAAGATGCTTCTTTGTTTCCTTCCCCTGCACATGACTTGTTCCCCACCTCTATTTTTTCTTTGCCCGTTCCAGAACCTTTCTCTGATCATGCATCATCCCCTTCACCTCCTGTTCATGCATCATCTCCTTCACCTCCTGCTCATGCATCATCTTCTTCGTCTCCCGTTACTGCATCTCCTTCTTTGCTTCATGCTCCTGTTCCATCTTCTGATCATGCATCTGCATCATCATCTCATGTTGCTCCACCTAACACCATTCATCTTCCTACTGTCCCTGCTTCGACTGGTTCCTCCTCTCTAAACAACGGGAGGCCTCAACGGCAGGCAAAAACACCTACTTATCTTTCCGACTATCATTGTTCCCTTCTTCACCATTCCTTTTCCCCCCCCTTCTCAGTTGTCCCCTGTTATATCATCTCCGCTTACCCTCACCACTAAAATTCCCATTCCTCCTTCTTTGAACTCCAATATTCCTTATCCCATCTCCTCTATTCTTTCTTACGAATATGGAACCAAGATCTTTTGCGCAAGCCATGATGTCCGAGTTTTGGAATAAGGCCATGAATGAGGAGTTTGCAGCTCTCCAACGGATTGGCACTTGGTCAGTTACTTCTCTCCCGCCTGGCAAGCACGCTATTGGCTGAAAATGGGTGTACAAGCTCAAGTACAATTCTGATGGTTCGCTTGAACGTCACAAAGTACGTCTTGTAGCTAAGGGTTTCACTCAGCAGGAAGGCTTGGATTACATTGACACGTTCTCACCTGTTGCTAAACTTGCTTATGTTAAGCTGATGCTAGGTTTTGCTGCCCGTAAAGGTTGGAGTCTCACTCAAATGGATGTCTCCAATGCTTTTCAGCATGTCGACTTGGATGAGGAGATTTACATGGCGTTGCCCCTCGGCTATACCCCTCCTGCTGGTACTACTTTGCCTGAGCACCATGTTCTTCGTCTTCATAAGTCTCTTTATGGCTTGAAACAGGCTTCTCGACAGTGGTACCAATGGTTCTCATCTGTGCTCCTTGCCGTTGGGTCCATTCAGTCTGATGCTGACAATTCCTTGTTTATCAAACTCTCGGGATCGTCTTTTACTGCTGTACTGGTCTACGTTGATGACATTGCCATTGCCAGCAATGACCCTCTTGCCGTGGATCATCTCAGGTCTGTTCTTCAACAAGAGTTTATGATCAAAGATCTCGGTCCTCTCCGCTACTTTCTTGGACTGGAGATTGCTCGCTCCTCCTCCGACATCTCTGTTTGTCAACGCAAATACGCTCTTGGCTTGCTGGAAGAGACGGGTCTGCTTGCTTGCAAACCGAGTGCTGTTCCCATGGATCCGACTTTCCACATTAGCTCCGAAACTGGTGTCCTTCTCGATAACCCTTCTCCTTACCGAGGACTCATTGGCAAGTTTCTGTATTTGACTCTCACGAGACCTGACATCACCTTTGCTGTGCATAAGCTTAGCCAGTATCTTTCTCGACCCACTGATGTTCATCTTAACGCTGCTCACAAGGTGGTCCGGTACCTCAAATCTAATCCAGGTCAGGGACTCTTTTACTCTGCATCAACGGAACTCTGCCTCAATACCTTTGCTGATGCAGATTTGGCAACTTGTTCGGATACTCGTCGCTCTGTTTCTGGCTTATTTGGGCACATCTTTGATCACCTGGAAGTCTAAGAAGCAGAAAGTGGTTAGTCGTAGTAGCACCGAGGCTGAATATCGTGCTCTCGCTGACGCTACGTGTGAACTTCTTTGGATTGCACAACTGCTTTGTGATTTCCACATCGTCACTTCTGTTCCGGCAAAGCTTTTTTGTGACAACAAGTCGGCTCTTCATATCGCTTCCAATCCTGTGTTCCACGAGAGAACTAAGTACATCGAAATTGATTGTCACAAAGTCTGGGATCAGATGAAAAACGGCTTCCTCAATACCCTCCACGTTCGTACAGAGAATCAACATGCTGATATCTTGACAAAGTCGCTTCCGTCTTCCTTGTTTCATTCGCTTTTGTCACGGATGTCAGTGTCAAGCCTTACTCTTCTTGCCCCAGATTAAGGCTTGAGGGGGGTGTATTACGGTTAGCTGATGTTGTTAGTTGGTTAGCCTTAACCGCATATATATATATAGTCTGTTGTATACAATAACAATTAATACATTCATTTCATATTTCATCGTTCTCTCTCTTATTTTCCTTTCTCTCTCTACGATTCACATCGTGATAATGACAACATATATGACGTAAATCAGTGGTTATTCTCTAACAGAAATCCAAACTCACCATTTGTGAGTGTCTTTATTTGCAAGGTTCATTATCATATCATTTTACTTTGCATAATTACCTCAACTTTATGATAATCACATGTTTGGACCCTCCACCCACTAGATGAGAGGAGAAAGCCATGTATTAATATTTCATATACCCGACCTTTTCTCTATATTGGTGAAATGTATCATTGTTTCTAGCTCCATGAGTTTGGTTTGTTTTTTGTTTTCTTTTGTTTGCCAGTCGGCATGAGTTTATTGTAATACATTTGATCCTCATGTCTCTTTGAATTTGTTTGTTTAGTATATACCTAGAAACGTATAACTTAAATAACACTTACGAAACCTAATTATATATACATAATTACACTGTGTGTGGGATGTAATACAACTACATATAAAGCATAAGTAACTTGTTTAACATACCTAGTTGTTAAACATACTGTACAGTATGAGAATTGAGCAGCATAGTTAGACATGTGTTATGTGTACAGTGTGCTTACAATGGGATTATCTTTTTGGCATGAGCCCAAAGTCTAATATTCATTAAATGGATTTCGTATTATAGTATTTATAGTTGTTTTTGCAGTCCAACTTTCATTTTCACCGTATCGCATAAATTACTCAAACAAATACAAATAACAACGATGATGTTTTGAGTAAGCTCACGATTTTAAATAAATTTTAGTCACATTCAAAAAGAGTTTTAGTCGGATTATTTCTCCAACGACGAAGACATCATAAGTATCCTTAAAAAGGCTACATATTAGTGGGTATGCCTTATGCATGCATTAATAAAATATATATAAAAAATGATAAATTCGAAAAGCAAGCGCAATCTATGCATGGCAAAAGCTTTTATCTTTCTTCTTCTTTTTTTGTTAACAGCTTTTGGATATCTCTTTTGTCCTAATTTGTTAATAAACTTATTATATAAAGCAATTGATAATCTTTTTAAGGTTAAATCAATCTTCGACCTAAACATTAATTATACTTTGTCATATCTATCGAAGCTCTATGACACAACTCCTGACAGGACAAGATCAAACTGCATAGGCATACTAATTTAAGTATTGATTGCTAATCCTTATAATATAATATTTAATGGTTATGTCTGAACTCTGAGCAATTGAATTTACAAGTGGATATCGTTGTTGGTCCCCAAAATTTATTTGTTTCTTCTTCTTTTTCATGTTATAGATGAATAGCTAAGTTGAAAACTAGTGGCTTCATAAGATAAGACCCGTAACCGACAACAAAAAAAAGGACACATAACTAAGTGAGTAAGTGACCAACCAAGCTAACCGGCCGGTTTAATTTTGGTCCCATATAGATAGTTCTGGCTCTTATTCATTGATAGTTTTTGCGTTATCCCAATGATTATCAACGATATGTATGGTCCGTAACATAACTCAATACTTCCGGTTGTTGATGTAACAAGAATCGTTTTACCACGTAATCTGATGATTAAAATATTAACAAAATTGTACAAAAATTATTTTACAAGGGAAATACGTGTAAAGAGATGAAAAAAAAAAAAAATCCAAGTGAGAGACAAGAAAACTAGGTATTTATCAAATCTACCCTCAAATTGCATACAAAAACACAACCCATTAAAGCTTCCACAATCAATCCCAGAAATACAAAAGAGTTACATAACTTAAAAACAATCAGACAAGAACAAGAAAAACATAACTATTCATGGGTTTTACCAAGATCTGATGGATTTGAGACAGAGATTATAGATGAGTGTTGTTGATGTTAGCTACATTGGTTGTCTCGTAGACTGGCAAGCCTCCACGAGACAACTCGTAGTTCTGCAACTCGAAGAGATCAGAACTTGAATCACTCTCCATTCCATCATCATCCTCATCACCTTCTCTCTTTATTCTTTGGTCATCGTCAACATCATCATCATCACGGTCGGCCCAAACCTTCTTTTTCTCCGAGAGGCTGTCCATCACTTTAAGTTTCTCATCAAGCCAAGACAACTCTTTGTTAATTTTCTTTTCCTCTACCTCCACTTGGCTTGTGGTAGAAGTGTAATTCAAGAACTGCTTGTAATTCTTGGTGGGTGTGTTCACATAAGGAGGAGGAGTTCTGAAACCCGAGCTTGATGACGAAAACAGAGACTTTGATGAGGATGATGTCGTTGTGGCGGTTGAATTAGATCTGCTTGAGCTCAAGAAATGGCTGATACTGCTTCTTCTCCTCCTCCTCCATCCTCCTCCGGGGATCTCTTCTTCGACTTCTCGATCCGCTTGCTTTGACTTTGACTTGTTCTTCTTCGAACCCGCTTGGTGAAACAAAGAATTCAAGAAGCTGGCGATTCTCCCACCTGGTGAGCTTGGTTGCTTGTGTCTCACGTTTCCGATCCTCTCTTTTATTGTTGTAACTTCTTGCTTCTCAAGATGATCTTGGTGAAGATGATGCACTTGCTCTGAACACCTAATCGGCAAATCCAAGCTTATTCGTCTCCCTCCTCCTAATATTCCCCATCTCCTTCGATTCTCCTCCCTCGCCGTGTTATAGCCATACTTTTGTGTGTAACTATGGTCGGCGGATGAGAATTCGTTGTAGCCGGAGAAGTACACTGCGGCCTCGAACACGTCAAGTTCGCCGGAATGAGCATCGTTGCGCTGGTGGGAAGATATCTTCTTGGAGAGCTTATCTGGTTCTGCTGATGAAATCCCTTTCAAGGACATTATTCGAATTGGGTTTAAAGATGAGATACTTGGATGATATCAGGAGTCTCTTTCTAAGCTAGATTTGCGGAAAAGAGGAACAAGTTGATAGAAAATGATAGAATGAAATATAAGGTGTTTAGGTTTATATAACAAATGATGGTATAACTCCATCATCATTAATATAAGGTGATAGTATGTAAATGTATGATGCGATACTCATACGTAGTATTAGTGGATTACGATTGTTTTGTAGTAGTAAATTTTTGGATATGGTTACAATTAAATGTTTTGAATGCTGAAAAAATTAGAAATTTGGAGGGACATAAGTCATAAGAGTTTGTGTGACCCACTAAATGCGTGGGTGAAGAACTTAATTGAAGGAGAAGGTGGGCTCATTTGATTTTATGAGCTTTTCTGATAAGGTGTAGGAAATTAATTGATTGTATTTATGATAATGTGGGGGCTATCCTCTCTTGCTGCATGCCTTGGATTCCAACTTCGAGTTTTTTTTTTGTTTTTTTTTTTCCTTTTTGCAATTTAATTGTGTTCTTGGTTTTTGAAATTACGCTCATGTACATCAATGCACAAACAAACCATGATTCCATTAAATTTCTTATGTATACCCGTTGCCTAAAAACTGTACCACTTTCACAGTAAATGTCATTTAGTTATAATATACGCTTGGTAAAAAAAACATTTTGTGCTCTTATTGACGCTAGCTGTGTAAAATATGAAAAAAAAAAAATGCACTCAACAATGAACCAAAAAAAAAGATGCTGTTCTTTGTGTGTGTTTTCCTCCACATTTCACTAAGCAATTTTTTCTTTTGTTAATTTGTTTTTAATATATATATTTCATAATCTAATTTTATCAACCAAGACAATTAAAATTTTAAAATAAAAAAAATCCTCAAAATATTGAAAACAAATTAAAAAATAATATTTATTATACTTTTTCAAGTGAACATTCACCCATTGACCATTGTCAAGTTGTCTTAAAATTTCACTTGTATATCAAATAAATAGTGGAATAATAGAATAATCAAATGATTTAGTAGTAGGAAAACTTTAAAGTAATCAAAATAATGTGTATATAGAACGTAGAAATGCGAAAATATGGTATATCATTCGTATTTTTCTGATGTTGTTCATGTAATTTGTGCTGTTTGTGTTAATACTCTTTTGCACTATCACTATAAGCTCGTTATGTATGTTCCATCCGATTTACATTGCATGTCTTTCTAGAATATGAAGGTGTGTATGTATTTAATATAGTAAATTAAGTTTGACAGTGTGAGTGCTTCTCTTATCTTTTGATGAAGAGCGTTGAAGTCACTCATCCATGACAGTTAATTGAATAGCTTTAATCAACAATCATGAGACTCAAGTTAATGATCTTTATTTGTACTAATAACTAAGTATAAACTAAGTGTGACAGTGTGAGTACATCCGGTACGTATTTATTACAATAACTTTATATATATACACACTATGATCTTTCAATTTTTAGTATGTATTCCGATTTCAAATTTGTATAGTAATGGTATCAAGACAGAGAAAACTATTGCCATTAAATGTAATAATTTCAAAATTCCAAATCTCTCGGATAAATGAAAGTTTTGAATTACTACAATTTTTCGATTTTGCAAAGAGCGCCAAAAAGTTATGATATTTTTTTTTATCGTTGTAGTTAGTTTTTTTTACATAATTTAGATTAAAATAAGTATAGAATTTAATAAATTTATAATATTTTTTATTCATGTAATATTTGAATTTTTTTTGGTCAACAAAATCTATATTTAATTTCTGATATTTAAGCCGTTGTGTGGTGATATACGAGCAAAATTTGGTGTCAAATTTATTGAACTTAAATTAATAATTCTTGACCAAATTGTTCACGAATTTCCTGAAAAAATGGTTTTATGTACAAAGACATAGATCTTTAACTCATATCCTGCTGAGTGTGATAAGATTAGCCCTATCGATTCTAAAATTTGATCAGATTTGATCTGAAAAAGCTAGATAATTCCAGTTGATTTAAACAGAATCAAATCATATATTCTCTCCATTTTTTTATATATAATGTTTAAAGTTTTGCACAGAGATTAAGAAATTATTTAATTTTCTTTTTTTCCAAAATAAAACATTAATTTCAAAATAATTCCATTAATAGAAAATAATATATAGAATAAAACAATTACTTTTTGCATTGATTTCTGAAAACATTATATACTAAAACAACTTATAAAGACAAACAGAGGGAGTATATGACTATATATACTACGAATGTCTTTACTATACCGTCAACAAGTAGTATAACCAAGAAAAAAATCAAAACTACCGAGAACTATAAAAAAAAATATAAGTCGGGGGATTGGGGAGGAGGCAACGTCACGTTGTATAGATTCCATATTAAATGGTTGCAAAGGCAAAACATAGACATGACACGAATAGTAAGTAGTGGTTAAGATGAGATTCGAGCCCACACGTGCGGAGACATGTCAAGGGAGATGACACGCGACATGATTTTGGTTGTATAACAACAATCAGCAACAAAGACACAACTAGAGAAGGGTTTTGTCTTGGGGCTTAGACGTTGAACATGATACGTTAAGAGCACTTGAGCCCCCTGGTTCTGAAATCGACGCTTGCATCTCCATCACCATCTCCATCATACCTAACCAATCCCTCCTAATATGCATTAATCATTATCATCTCAGATACTTAAACAATTTCCGATTTCAATTAACGCGGCCAAGTATTTAGTATTCCAAAATTGTTAACGTATCAAAGTTTCATGGGACGAGTGTTTAATCTATAAATAGTATTCCAATTTTTTTTATACTTATAGTTACTTAAACTACAAACTATTATAATCGAATATATATATGTATATAAACGATTAACTCTATCAAATAAAAGATCACCCCCCT